TTGCTAAAGAGATGCTCAGCCAGAAGCCCAACAGGAAGATGGTGAAGCTGTACATGCTGGGCAGCGTGCTGGCGTTCTTCGGTGTGGTCATCGGTCTGGTGGAGGCAGTGTGCAGCCCTTTCACCTCCGAAGGGAGGATAGAGGAGGAGGAGGAGGAGGAGAAGAGACCGACCCCATCTCGAGAGCCAGCTCTCCCTCAGAAGCAGGAGGATTTGGTGTTGGAGCAGAGCAAGAAGTTGTCAACGGTGCAGCGGGGGCTGGTGACCAGGCAGCATGCATCCTAAGGGACCCACTGCTCACCCGAGCACACGGCTCTGCTGCCCCGATGTCCCAGTGATGGTGGTTCCAGTGAGAAGGGCGAAGGTTTGGCTGAATGAGGAGACTGCAAAGTGCAGGACTTGAAAGAAAGGAACGGTTTTATTTGCTGCTGTGCAGCAGTAGGAAAAAATACCTTTTGTTGGTATAAAAATGTGCAAGATGCACGGCGTGGTTTCTTATTTTTACTACAGATGCGTTTTACAACGTTTTGCAAAATCAATAAATATTTTATATGGTACCAGTGCTCTCTAGCTGCGTTCATTTCATGGACAGGATGAGTTTTGTTTGTGCTCTGCAGGAGCCTCCGGCCCCTTCATGAATGGCTGTGGCCAGTAAACCAACCCTCTCCATAGAGCTCCTTCCCCTGGTCCAGCAGCTCATGGCAGAGTGTTGGAGTTGCCCGACTCCAAAAATGCTGCTGCCTTCCAAAAATGGGTCACTGTGTGGGGAGGAGTTGGCTCACAAGCCACGTTCCCAAAGCTGGAGGTGGGGATCTTCCTTCCGGGGTTATCTGAGTTTGATGGCATAGATTCAGGGCTCTGCCATGTCCACGTGTACCCAGAGCTGCTGAAAAACCTGTCTGTCCCCCACAGATCTCTAACAGGCTATGGGCACAGCTAAAAGCAATGCTCTGCTTTGGTTGGAATCCTTCCTGAGCCTGGCACTTGATTGTGGAGAACAGTGTTTGCTCCCCATGTCACAAATGGAAAAGCTGCTGCATGGGCAGACAGCAGCTGGGACTGCACAGTGGGAGTGGTAGAAACAGGCATCTGAGTGCTGTCAGCATCCTTAGAGAGCCTTCACCTATTCAAAACCTTCCCAGGGTTAGTTCTGAGCACTACAGATTCTTGCTGTGTCACTAATGTTAAACTTTGCAGAAAACTGCAGCTTAAAGATTCTGACCATGCTACAAAGCAGCGGTGAGATCATCCTTGACAAGTAGGGAAGGGGGAGAAAATCCCTGTTTGCTCAGTGCCAAAGGCAGTGGGGCAAGGATAGGGGCATGCATAGAAACTAGGAGCTAAAAGCAAACAGTTGTTACAAACTGCAGGAGGGGCTGGAAAACAAAGCAGCACTGCCTGACAGCCACAACAAACACACAGATCTTCCCAGAGCTGTGAGTCAGGATTAAAATCCAGACAGAATCCACACACAGAGCTTCTTGTCAGGCTTTGAACCAAGAGCAAAGTACCTTTTTCTTGAGGGAAAAAAAAAAGAACAGAGTCCAGTGTAAGAAAAAAAAAAAAACAAAAAAGGCCTTGGAGAATGATTTGATTTGGGCTTTAACCAAACCCTTTGGCTTTTGGTGAGGCGGAGTGACCCCAGCACCAATGGGAATTTGGAGGCAAAGAGGGGCAGAGGGTCGCAGCCTGCAGCACCCCGAGGCCAGGCTCCATGGTGGAGCACGTTGTGTGTCCCCACAGCACAGCCAGTGTAACAGCAAGGGTCAGTCCCAGCTGAGGATCACGTCTGTTCCGCAGTGCTGGGCTTCACCCCGTGCTGCTGGCGCACCGCAGCCCCGTCCCACTGCACCCCGCCGCCTCTCTGCCATTATCCAGTCACGGGTTTATGAGCTTAAAGCAAAGAGGTTTGTGGCACAATCAAAATAGCTGCTCCTAAGGCAGCTCACGGGATTAGACAGCTCAAGAGCCGCGCCGGCGGTGCTGCAGCCAACTCGGTAAATCCGCGTCCTGCTTCTCTGCTTCCTATCTCACGAGTTGCCCCCCAGTTCGTGGGGCTGAGCCGTGTGCTGCCACTTCTGCGACAGTGCCTCGGGCTTCAGCTGGGGCTGTGGATCAGGTGAGCATCGATGGCTGATGCACAACGACCGTATAAGGTCCTATTTCAACTATATGGTGACTAACAGAAAAACTGAAAGGAAGGCAACTTTATTTGAATACAGTGAATATTTGAATACAGTGAGGTGACGGAGCACTGGAACAGGCTGCCCAGGGAGGTGGTGGAGTCTCCTCTGGAGATGTTCCAGACCTGCCTGGATGCCGACCTGTGCGACCTGCTGTAGGGAGCTGCTTTGGCAGGGGGTTGGACTCGATGATCTCTGGAGGTCCCTTCCAACCCCTACAATTCTGTGATTCTGTAAAACTCAGTGTGTGGGGGGGATTGGTAGCCCGTTAACATCCCTGTAACTGTGATCAACGGCAGACTCGCCAAATGCAGCAGACCAAAGTGCTCTGCAGACGTCCCAGTCCTTGTCCCACAGCAAACCCCTCCAACAAGGCAGCTTCCAGCCCCATCCCTGAGCCCCCACCCTGATACCCAATGGCACAACCCCCCCAAACAGCACCTGCCACAACCACGTGCCATCAGCAAAACGCATCCACGTGGACCAGGTGCGAATTGCAGGAGGCAATTGTGACTGGGATACACTGGGGAGTAACCAGACAGGAGGTGTGCTGCACAGCCAGTGCTGCGAGGACATCTGAGGCAAGCACAGGGAGCATCTGAGGCTGAGTTAAAGCCACGCAGTGAGGGATAAGCTCTTGAGGAGAGCCACGCGTTGCCCAAGGTGCAGCACATCGCTGGAGCCACCCAGGGTCAATTTCTATTGCTCTGCTTCCTTAAGGACCTGTCTGAATGCAGTTCGCTCTGACCTGTAGATCAGGTGCATTAAGTCCTCGGGCAAATTGCAGCTGGCACGAGATCTGATACCTCTCTGCCTCTGCCAACCTGGCAGCACAGCCACAGAGATCTGATTTCAGCTCAGGCCCTCGTGGCAGAGCTGGGCACCAGGAACGCAGCAGCCCTCCTGCCCAGGCCGTTGGCTTCAAGGGCACGAGCTGAATGTCTTCGGCACGCTCGCCTGCTATTTGGAGTGTGGGCTCTGCATGTTTTGAGAGCTGCCAGGCTAAATTTAGGGGCCCAGATAAGGATATTAGCCTCTCCTACACAGCAGCAAGGGCATCAGGAACATGGAGAGTGGCCAAGGCACAGGGCAGCCAAAGCAATGCATAGAGGCAGAAACTCCTGATTTGGTCACACAGGAAAAAAATAAATGCAGTGCTTAGAAAAGGCCCAAACTGGACAGGATTTACTCTAAAACAGCAGTGAGTGCAAGCACAAAGTCAAACCAAACTATTCCACAGTCACCACAGCACGTAATGGGGGCACCCCTGCCTGTAAAGAAAGACCTGCATTCATGGTAAAGAATGCTGGGAGAGCAGAGTATGAGGAAGGGTCTCATGTCTACAGGATAAAGGAAAATGAGGGGAAAAGAAGAGGAAAACAAGGGGAAAAGTGTAACCCTCTACATTTAATAAAGATTTGCTAATGGGTTAAAAACAGCCAAATATCCTTCAAAAGGGAGAACAAAAAGCTGTATTCTAGTTCCTGCCAAATGCCTCTGTGTCCCCATGGTGCATGCAGGAGCCTGCCTCAATCCCAGTGCTGGAAAACACTGGCTGCAAGGGGCTGGGTGATGCAGGAGGGACATGCAGCAGGAGGGAACACGCAGCAGGAGGGAGCAGGCAGGAGGATTCAGGTGGAGCTGCTCCCCTTGCAGTGACCCCTATGAGGATCTGGCAGCAGCGCAGCCAGAAGCAGCTCCATGGGCTGAATTCAGCTCCTGGGATCAGAAAATGCCTCCACAGCCTCCCTGCCCTCCTCTCACTTTCTTCGCTCCCCGCCCTCCAGAAGAGGTTAAAAACAAGTTCTTAAGCAAAACAAACCCAGAAAAAGCTCTGAGTGGGAGTGAGGCGCAGCGATGCCAGGTGATGGGGAGGGAGGGAAAAATCCCCATGGGCAGCAGAGCACAGCTGGGGTGGGGGCTCTGCAGCATCCACACCAAGGCTGGCAGCTATTGCTTCCCACAACATCCTCATGCTATGTAATAACAACAGATTACAACAGCAGCTCTCCCCACTCGCAGGACGGATGAGGCAGGGCTGAGGGATTTGTTTTCTCAAGCCCAGCAGTGAGATGAGTGCCCTGTGATCACAACCCGAGTTCAAAGCAAAGGGACTCAGGAAGGGGCAGAGCTTCTGCAGCGCTGTTATGGGACCAAATGGGGGCGAAGTGATTCTTATCAGGAGAAAGTTGGGTCTGAAGTAAAAGAGCAGAACTGGGAGCAGCGAAGGCTGCGGGGAGCACACGGTGCCCACCTCGTGCAGCAGTGTCAGTGCTCTGCAGGGCAGCTCCCAGCCCTCTCCCACACCATCAGTGGCACTGGGTTTGCTGCTGCCTGGACATAGCAAGGGAGCGGATGTGACATGTTTTTCCCTTGGACTGCATTCACTTACAAATAACAGCAAAGCTCCCACAGCGCTCCAAGCAGGCAGCACGAGGACTGTGACTTCTCTGCAAAAAAAAACACAACTCTCAGTGCTTGCCTGCAGGATTCTCGGTGCTCCCCTTGGAGCTGGGGGTGCAGCCCTGAGGGGGTTCAGCTCAGCCCTCTCAGGAGCAGGGTGAGGTGAAAAAGCAAATGCTGCCTCCGTGGTTTCCTCCCTGGGATGCAGAGAGGTGACTGCCCTGCGTGGAGGGTCCCATCCAGATGGGTGCTGCAGCTGCATGCATCCAGAGCCAGCGGGCATTAAAGAGGAGCCCTGGCCACCTGCAGCACTCTGCCTCTGATGTTCTCTGAGTGAAACTTGATGCTGTTCAGCAAGGACACACCTCTTCCAGGGTGTTGTGCAAAATTCTGCATTTTAACGTAGGGACAGGAAATATGAACAGAGCCGGGCAGAGCCCGCAGCAGCACCACTGGTTAGGCCACGGCTCCCCAGCTCCGTGGGAGCAGATTGAAGCGTTTGCTTCTCTCACCAACCCCACTGTGACTTCCCAGTGCTTTGGGAGCCACGGCTCCCGCACCAACAGGTTTTGAAGGATTGGCATTGCTGCTGCGTCCGGGAGCAGCTCAGCAGACGCTGTTTTCCTCTTTTCTCTTCCTGCTCCATTTCCTACGATGGGTTTGTTGCAAAAGATTCTCATCCCCGTTTTGGGACTGGTTTTGGCCTTCTGTTTTTATTCGTCGAGGGAGAATTTCAAACCTGGTGAGTATCGCAGGGGAATCTGTCCTGATGCAAAATATTAAAAGCCACATTTGAGCGTTTGGCACGGAGATGTGCAGAGGTTGGACCAAGCCTTTGTGGCAGGGCTGAGGATGGAGCGCAGTTTTAGCAGATATCTGGACTCAAATGGAAGAAGCAACATGCAGCTCCCGGGGGAGCAGGGAGGCAGGGGCTCCTGAAGCAAAGAAGGCTTTGAGCACTTTGCATTCAAGCGCAAACTAACTAACTAATGTTGGATTTTAAGTTCTGCAGCATGCACTGATGGCGTGTTTTTCATTGCAGAATAGCTGGGGTGTTTGTAAGTTGCGTCCTGATGTGTGAAAAGCTGTTGAAGGAGCCAAGAACTGTGCTGTTGTGGTCAGTTCAAGCTGCAGCTGCTCCTGGGTACAGCATTTCCAGGGGAGGGAAGAGGATGAGCGGGACAGAGCACGAAGATCTGCATTCGTCTTGCCATTCGCTTCTACTTGAAGGCATTAGGGGGCTTTATTTTCTCTTCAAATAGGGTTTGGATAAATTAAACTCCTGTGCCTTGGTCCCCAGAGATGCTGAAAGGGAAGCGTGTGATCGTCACGGGAGCGAGCACCGGCATCGGGGAGCAGATGGTGTATCACCTGGCACGGATGGGAGCCCACGTCCTGGTCACGGCGCGGACGGAGGCAAAGCTGCAGCAAGTAAATGGCAAGCTGGGCACTCACACATGCACACACAGACACAGGAAGGCCAACCTCACATTGCAGGTATATACATAAATACGGTTGCATGGAACTGCAGCGGCACAGAGAGCAGATGCGTGCAGTTCTGCTCACGGGTGTGCAAAGTTACGCTCTCCAGAGCTCCTGCATGCACAGAAATGGGCCTCCTGCAGGCACGCACTGCACGCCCTGTATGTTTGAATTGCTCGGCGAAGTACACGTCTGCATATGCACAGACTGCAGCCACACACACCCTCATTCCACTGCAGTGATCTATCAGCTCCCGCTTAACCTACACACACAATTCCAGCACAGATGGCACTGATGAGGAGCCAAACGGCCTCAGGCCATGCATTCACCAAAGGAATAAACTTCAAAGGGAGCCCGAGAGATTCAGAGGCTCCCAGAAACCCTGCAGTGAGGTTTGGGGGGCTGAGGCGTGTTTTGGTGAGCGCAGCCCCCAGCTTGCAGGGCCTGATGCGCCGCGTTGCATCGCAGGTGGTGGAGCGGTGCCGGGCGCTGGGGGCCAGCTCAGCACGGCTGGTCAGCGGCAGCATGGAGGACATGGCCACCACCCGGCAGCTGGTGGAGGTGGCCGAGGCTGAACTGGGTATGTCTGCAGCTCCCCAGCACGCTGCTTTGTTGCTGTGCGCCACAAAAGCAAAAACAAGTGGGGATGGGAAAAGGTTTCCCTTAATTCTGTGCCCTGCAGCCCAGCCTGCATCGCTCCAGCAGAGCCTAAACTGCCCTCTGGATTTCATCCCCGTGCCCTCGTAACACCCTGTCCTGATATTGCAATCCTGGGTTTCATCACTGCTGCTACCAGGGGTGAAGCCATGCAGCAGCTCACAGCTGCATTGCTGTTGTGGTTGTGGGTCATCACTGCAGAATGGCAGTGCTCAGCTCAGTGCCGTGTCTCCCTCTCCCAAAATGAGCCCAGATAGCTCAAGAGCAATCTCCCTTTTGCAGTGTCATTTGTGTTTCAAACTGGGGAGGGAAAGGGACACAACAGCTCTCATCTGGGACGAGTTATTTGATTCCAGCATTTTTTCGTTGGCAGCCACCATCCAGGCCATCCCAGCTCCAGAGATGGCAGGCTGCAGCTTTGACCCAAAAAAACCAACCCCAAGTGACACTGACCCCAAAACATTCTGGTTGCATTGGTTCTGCTGTCAAGAAAGGCTCCATCCTGCCCACAGCAGCCCCTTCCCACCCAAAACTAACACCCGCTCCTCTGCTTCCAGGAGGCCTCGACATGCTGATTCTTAACCACGTTGGCAAGTCGTACTTCAATTACTTTGATGGGGATGTTGGACACGTCCAGAAGCTCCTGAACATCAACTTCCTGAGCTATGTAGCCATGACAGTCTCTGCCCTGCCCATGCTGAAGCGGAGCGGGGGTAGCATCGTGGTGGTCTCCTCCATGGCAGGTGAGTGGGAGCGAGGTCTGGGACGTGGGATTCCATGGGTTGGTTTCTGTAAGAAACATTTGCACCTCAGAGGAGCCAGAACTACTTAACACACCCAAAGCAACCACAGTTTCCAGGTCTTTTTCGCATTTCTGATGCAATCCCCCTGCCCCACCTGGTGATTAAATCCCACACCCAGCGGTGCAGCAGAGCTCACGTAGCTCCAGTTCTACAAAGAAAAGGGGAAATGCCATCATTTCTCACTGCACTGTTCCTCTGACAGTTCGTTGTGGTTTGCCAGGTCAAGATCCTGCAAATGTTTGCAGAGCCTTTTCTAATAAGTTTCTGCTAAGTCAGGAGATTAAATTAACAGCAGCTGCAGCCCCAGCACTGCTGGCTGCTGGGAATCAGCTCCACTCAGCACCCAGAGGCAGGAGATCAAACTTTGCTCCATGGCTGCTGCCTGTTGTGAGATGTGCTGCTGGACTTCAGACTGTGACAGAGCTGGAAGCTGACAGGACTGCTCTGCAGTCCTGCTGCTCAGGTGCCAGGGTGACGTTTCCCCTAACAGTAAACTCCCTTTGGCTAAAATCCTTTATCTGATGAAGCAGAAACAGAGGCTGCTGCAGCTTTCCATGCTTTAATGGAACTTCACTCTGTATCCAGGTAAAGTTGGGTTTCCCTTTACGGTCCCTTACTCTGCAACTAAGTTTGCCCTGGATGGATTTTTCAGCTCCCTGAGGCAGGAATTCAGCATCCAGAGCGTTAACGTTTCCATCACACTCTGCATCCTTGGCTTCATTGACACTGGTAAGCTCCATCCGTGCCATCTGGCTGCCCAGAAACTGAGCATCACATGCCCAGCTTTGTGCCCTCCCCTCCTGTGCCCCCACCTCCAGTGCTGCTTTTCCTGCTGTAGTGGGAGTGAGTGCAGCATCACCTCTGCTCTCAGCAGGCTCCTACCTCTCTTCCACCAAAAAACAGACTCCAGACTGATTTGTTTCCCTGTGCTGTGCTCAGGTAGGATATTAGGACAAAGGTATTCTGAGGAAGAGCAGTCAGGCAGCAGCTCAGGCTGCGGAGTCACCATCCCTGGGGGTGTTTGGAGCCATGGAGATGTGACACTTGGGGACAGAGTCACAGTGGGGATGGCGGGGTTGAACTTGGGGATCTCAGAGCTCTTTTCCAACCCTGATGTCTCCACGGTTCTATGAAAATCAGCCAATCAGTGCACAGGCTGGGACAGCCTAAAATTCAATGAGTTTCAGTGGAAGCACCAGCCGCACATCTCCCATTAATCTTATCTGATGCAGCGAGCGACGGGAGTGAAGGCAATGACGGGAGCGACTTGAAGCTGCTTCTGTTTTCCAGTGCACACACTACATTTAGCTGTAGGAACAGAGGCAGCTCCGCAGCTCGCTCATCACAGGCAAACCATCAAAAGGACAAGCAGAGAGCAGCCCTACTGAAACCTCTCTTGTCCCTCGACTAGAGAACGCCATGCGTGCGGCCGCCGACGTTCTCCTGATGTCCCCGGCTCCCAAAGAGGAATGCGCCCTGGAGATCATCAAAGGAGGAACCCTGCGTCAGCGCGAGGTCTATTACCGCTACGCATCCACCAAACTGCCGCTGCTGCTGCGGGATTGGGCCGCCGAACTGCTGGACCTGCTGGTGCGGCAGCGGTACCGACCCGAGCGGCTGCGGGCGGCCTGAGGGATGCCACCGCCGGGCCGACAGCCGCCTCTGCTGGCCGCAGCCGTGCTTGCAGCCCTCCCTCGTCAGTTAAGCTTTAATAACCGCCTCGCCCCCGAGAGGAGCCGGCTGGGATCCCCGGCTGAGCTGCGGATTCCTGCAGGTGCGCCCTTCCTGCTTGGAAGCCGTCCTGATTGGAGCCTTTCCCCAAAGCTGGGGAAAGTAGTAACTAAGTGTTAAGTGCAGCTTACTAACCTTGTTGTGTGCTCTGTGGATTTTTGTTGTTGTTTTGGTTTTAATCTCTTTTTCCATTACTAAACGCTGCTGCGAATGGGCATCGTTCCACGGACCCGCCTTTCTTTAATTATTGAATGCTGCAATAAACCATTATCTCATTGGAAGAGTAACAGTCTAGCTTGTTTTTCATTTAGCTTGAAGTCCAAGTTCAATGCAAATCTATTCAGCAAGTTAATTCTTTGGGGTACAGTCCCTTACACAGACACTAACTACAAAACGCCCCTGGATACACAGCGCTGCTTCAGTGTTGCCCTAAGCCATAAGCTCAGCACTAAGCACAGTGCTCACTGAAGGCAAAACCTCAGCATGAGCCTGCAGTGATGTGACACAGCTCCCCTCACCCCAGCACTGATATCCGACCGGTGCTTCCATCCAAAATCACTACCCACCCTTCTGATCACTGCCTGCTGCAAGATGAAGTAAGAACCCCATCCCCAGGCCGCCCCCCAGGATCATTTTGCTCCTCACTATCTATAGGAAGCTGGAGCTGCACTTCTGTTCTCCTTATCTTGACACCCATTGTGTACAGAGCAGGTTTTGCCCTTTAAATTTCTCTTTGGGAAAATTATTTGCGAGGCAGTTTGCCCTTTGCCCAGGCAGGTGCTTAGCAGTGACACAGAACACCTGTGAAAGTGAAGATCTTCATTATTCACCTCTTGGCTCTTTAAGTGCCTTTCACAGTCTGCCTCATTGGATTCCTCAAGAGAGAGTGCAATTTTGTGGGTCTAAGAGCCACACAGGAGCTGTCAGCACTGTGCCAATGGTGATGTTACAGAGCGCAAGCCAAAAACAGCAGCAGGGCCAGCCCTGTTCTGCCCAACATCTGTATGACCCTGCATCTCAGTGGTCAGTGCTGACCAACAAACCCTCGTGGCACCAGGGAGGAAGGGAAAATTGGGCTCAGTTTTAGATATGAAGTGGAAGAGAGAAAGCTGAGAGGTCTGAAAGGGGGGACACGGGTGTCCCAGCCCCACCAGCAGTCACCAAACAACAAACCCACATCTCCATCAGGCAGCAGCTTCCCAGGGTGGCCTCAGAAAACACCCTGGACATTGATAGGAGGAGAAGGGTACAAAGAGTCAGCCCAAAGTCCAGCACAACGCCCTCTATTAGGTTAATGTTTGCTAAACTGCAGGGAGCACAAAGGGAATAGGATCGAATATAGAAGAATAGCAGACCTGCAGGGATCAGCTCAGAGCAGCCACTGCTCCCCTCGGCTGTACGTCTGCTCCAACCCGAGCACTGGCAGAGGAATGGGGCTGCTCCTGAAGGTTCTCATCCCCTTGCTGGGGCTGGGGCTGGCCGTGTATTTTTACTCAGGACCTGGGAATTTCAGCGAAGGTAAGTCATTGAAAATGCACGCTTAGCAGCAGGCAGCCGGGCTGCTGCCCAGCCTGCACCACCCGGGGGAATCCAAAGCAGCTGAAAAGCAGAGCACAGGAGGTGCACAAGAGGTGGGAGCCCTTTTCCCCACGCACGAGCAGCTCATGGGGTGGTGTGTGGGTCTGCGAGGCTCGCATTCTTACTCTGAGCAAACGGATTTGTTTTGGAGACACGCAGTTTACCGCTGTAAATATTTATTCATTTTCTTTGTCAACTCCTGCCAAATGCAGAGCAGCTCCACGCTGGGCTGGAGCCCGGCTGGGGGCTGCAGCAGCAGCAGCTGCATCCTGCAGCGGCACAAAGGAGCCGTGCACGAGGGTGTGGTACAGGCTGTGCACAGCCCTGAGCTCTGCATCCCCTCCAGAGATGCTCCGGGGAAAGAGAGTGATCGTGACAGGAGCCAGCAGTGGCATTGGGGAGCAGATGGCGTATCACTTGGCACGGATGGGAGCCCACATCCTGGTCACGGCGCGGACGGAGGCCAAGCTGCAGAAGGTGGGCAGCAGGCACTGTGAGCATGGCTGCAATGCAGACACCCTGCGGGCAGGCAGGAGCTCAGCTACCCACCCATCCCATGTTCACAGGGATGCTAGATTCCAAGCAGGCTCCTCAGCACACCACCATAAATTGTATTTTCAGTGCTGACAGCACAGCATTTCCTCCCCCATGGAATTCAGCTATTGCAGAGGAAACGTCCCTCTGAGCAACATCCCCCCAGCAAAGGGAGAAGGGTTGCCAGCCACCCCCAACACCTCGACCAGTGCCTCTCTCACTGTCCCCAGGTAGTGGACAAATGCCTGGATCTGGGTGCTGCATCTGCCCGCTATGTGAGCGGCTCCATGGAGAGCACAGCCTTTGCTGAGGAGGTGGTGAAAGAGGCTGAGATCACATGGGGTGCGTAGCAAGCGCCCAAACCCTGTGCTACATTTTGGGGTCACCACAACGCAGCCTGAGGCCTGTTGCTGGCTGCAAACATCCAACACACTCTGCTTCCAGGAGGCCTTGACATGCTCATCCTGAACCACATCGGCCACAGCTTTTTTGACTTCTTCAACGGGGATGTGGATCACGTGAGGAAGGTGATGGAGACCAACTTCCTCAGCTACGTGGCCATGACCGTGTCTGCCCTGCCCATGCTGAAGGAGAGCGAGGGCAGCATCGTAGTGATTTCCTCTGTGGCAGGTGAGCACGAGTGCCCTTCTCTCCCTGCCTCGTGTCTTTCCTACTCATCTCTGTGCATGCATTGCAATCAGTGCAATTCTGCAGGCTTACTTGCCTGACCACACATTATACACACATTTGCCATACACAGGTATATATGCAGGAAAACGAGAACAGTGCAGCCCACAACAAAGGTCTCTCATGCCACGTGCTGAGCTTTAAACGTTTCTTTCCTTCCCTAAAGCATTTAAGATAGGTTGCTCACACTACAACATTGCAGCTATAGGAAAGGCAGGGGCAGGCAGAGCCGTGCAGCCCCACACCCACCCAGCACAGGTGAGCTCTGACCCTGCGCCTCTGTCCAGGTAAAGTTGGCTTACCCTTCACTGCTCCCTACTGTGCGACTAAGTTTGCCTTGGAAGGATTTTTCAGCTCCTTGAGGCATGAATTCATCATAGAAAACATCAACGTTTCCATCACGCTCTGCATCCTGGGCTATATTAACACAGGTAAGCTCAGCACCACCGAGGCTCACAGATAAAAACGTGGACCTGGTGCAACGCAGCTGTCCTTCTGTCACTGCAGAGAACGCGGTGCAGATGGTCTCACACGTCATTAAGGGAACACCAGCACCCAAGGAGGAGTGTGCACTGGAGATCATCCGGAGCGGGGCCCTGCGTCAGCATGAGCTGCACTACCCTGCCAGCAGCGTGACCCCAACGCTGCTGCTGAGGGACTTTGCCCCTGACTTCCTGGGTGGCCTCATCAGGAGCAACTACCAGGTGGAAAACATCAAGAAAGCACCGCCGCCCCAGGGCTCGGGGCATTAGCACAGCTCTGAGCGGCCAACACTTCCCCATGGGCAGTGGAGCCTCCAGAAAAGCCCACCCCAAAGCAGTGCTGGGGCCATTTCTGAAGGCGGCGTGGCTGGGAACTGTCTGCACAACACTGGGCACTGGGAGCCTACGACACAACATAAACATGTTTATTTATGCTGCCCGTAAATGGCTCCTCGCAGGCAGTGGGGGTCCCCAAAAGGGCTCTGCAAGGCCAGAATTAGGAGCAGGCTGGGGGATGCAGGCAGCACCCGGACCCCAACTGCTCCGTGTGCTTTGCTGCATCTCCCCCACATCTCTGCAAATGGAGGAATCAGTCAAAAAGTTATGGATATGGAAGGCACCGGACCTGTAGAACACAGCCTTGTGCTTCTGAAGGAAAGGTGGTGGGATTCAGATTGGCACTACATGAAGATCTGCAGTGACCCAGTTGCAATTAAATATTTTAAATAATAATAATAAAATTATTTAGACTGGAGACTCATGGAAGAGGATTATAAAGCAGAACTGCATACTTACAAAGCTCTGAGCTCCTTCTGAGAAGGGATTTGGGCCAACCCCCATCAACCAACCAGCAAAGACAAACAGAGGATCCTTACACTACAGTGGTTTTTGCCTGTACCCTTACTTCCGAACAATAAATCCTACATTACTCTGTGGCATCTCTGGTTTGAGTTTTGTTCCTCTTCCACTGGAGTATGCGCAGAGCCCCTCTCAGCACAGAGCTGCTTAAACCCACCCCATGATTTGCATTAACGCAGCTTTCACTTCTCTAAGACCTTAATGAATTTCTGCCGTTTGTGACCTCTCCTGAAACACACTTTTTTTCCCTCCCTTTCAATCTGCGAGAAGCCTTACAATAATAGCATTGCTCCCTAGATTTCCTTTACCCCCAAAGCAACCTGGAGTGATTCGGTCACCCAGTGCTGCCGGAGCCCCGGGACCAGTGCTCTGATAAGGGAGGCAGCCGCAGGGACAGGCAGTGGGAGCTGCTGGCACCCCAAGATAACCCCAAACCTCACGCTGCGCGAGCAGGACAGGAACCAGGGCTCAGGCTGTGGCCCCAATGCTTCCTGTTCGACAGAAAGAAACACAGTGAGGCAGCAGCAGCACGAAGCTGTGGGCACCCAGAGGACGCGGTGTTTGTGCCCTGCAGCCCCACGCTCACCCAGCTGCACCGAGGCACGGCCAGGTAAGTGCCTGCAGGCCTGCAGCTCCAGCGCTGCCCTCTCACCACGCTGCTTCTTCCCCTTCTTCCACCCCTCTGTGATGGGCACAGGGAGGCGGTAACATGAAACGTTTCTTGTTGTTTGTTTCCCTCGAAGCAAGAAACGTTAACAGGTTGAAAAGCAAAGCTAAAGGACACGGTTGGTAATTAGAGAGGGTAACTTCAGGCAGTGGCAGAAGGACACAAGGTATTCTCTCACCAAGAAGGCCTCAACGCTTTGCTCAGCTCGGGGTGAGTAACGGACCGCGTGTTTCCTTAAGCCTTACCTTGGTTTACAACAACTTCTGGTTAACTAAAGTGCTGCAAGGAGGCCTGAGGGACGGCCAGGTGGGCAGCGGGGCTCCAGAGGGTGAGTGAGCTATGGATGGGAACAGCAGGGTCATTGTGGTATGGATAATAAGACGTGGAAATAACCTGCTCAGCCTCTCATAGCCCCAAACCCCTTCTGCTGGAACCACCAGCACAACCACCAAAAAGTAGAACGCTGCTGGAATCGCTCAGTAAGCGTTGGGTAAAATTAGAGATGCTTCGGAAGCTGTTGGAAGCTTCAGAATGGCATATTCAGACAAACACAGAGCACAGGAGTGCTGACCATCTCTCGGAAGCACCGGATCACCCGGCCCCACAGCCCCATGCTGCAGCATGCTGTGGTTTGCAGGGGCTTCCTCTGCCCGGTGCAGGAGCAGCATGCTGGTTGGTGGCACATCCAGACCAAAGGAGAGGCTCACCGTAGACTAACAAGCATAGTAGTGTTATATACATAAATGGGTTTTTACTTGCTCGCATTTTTTCCCCCCCGTTAAACTCCATGACTTCCTAATTGCTTGAGACAGAATGAGACCAACAAAGTTTTGCTGTCTTTTTTTTTTTTTTTTTTTGACAAAGAAACTCACCCTGCAGATGCACATGGTGCAATAGTGCAGGTGCTCAGCCGCCCACCTGGTTTCGGGCCACAGAATATCCCCAAATACAGAGCAGAGGAGGAATTTGCGCGGGTCGCAGCACCCACCCCAACGAGCAGCGAGCACAGGGTGAGATGGGTGATGAGCACACTGAGCTCACAGACAGCACATCTCACTATAACCACCACCAGCCCCTGGTTTTAACAGGACGGGGGTCTCGCCATGATCAGCCCCCCAGAACGGACCCGGCCGCGGCATGCAGGCGAGAGCTACGAGGAGAAGTGCGAGCGGCGGCAGGAGACGCGCGAGGCCTTGCGGCGCCGTGGCCACGCACACAGCGCACGGCGGCCGGGCCGCAGCGAGGAGCAGCCACAGAGCCCACGGCAGAGAGAGTTCCTGCGCAGGAGGAACCTTGGCAGCACCACCGGGGAGCTCGGCACACCCGTCCTGCTCCAGGTAATGCTTCACCTCCACCGCGTCGGGGCCCTGATGTGCAAAGCGGCCGTATTTGTTTATGGGCTGCGACAGCCAGGGGCAAAGTGCGTCACCTCCCTCGCAGCGTGTTCCTTCCTGTTTGCTAAGCTAAATGTGAACCAAATGGAGAGCTGCTGCTGTTCCTCCAAGTGCAACCCCTTGTCCTGTCTGCTAAATTAGTTTTGCACTTCTGTAATTACTTTCCCCCCCCCCGAGAACTGCACTGTAAACAACTGGGTTCCTTCCATCACCTTCCCCGCTAGCAGGAACAAAGATCATAAAATTGCTCAGGTTGGAAAAGACCTTAAAGATCATCAAGCCCAATCGCAAGCTAACCATACTACCCTAACTCTAACCACCCTCTGCTAAATCATGCCCCTGAGCACTGCATCCAAATGGCTTTTAAACACATCCAGGGATGATGGAAAAACAAAGGGGAATGGTCTTAAACTGAGACAGGGGAGGTTTAGGCTGGATATTAGGAAGAAGTTTTTCACCCAGAGGGTGGTGAGGCACTGGAACAGGTTGCCCAAGGAGGATGTGGATGCCACATCCCTGCAGGCATTCGAGGCTGGATGTGGCTCTGGGCAGCCTGGGCTGCTGGTTGGGGACCTGCACACAGCAGGGGGTTGGAACTGGATGAGCATTGTATTGCTCATCCTTTATCCATATATCCATATATAAAGGATGATTGCATCCTTTGCAACCCAGGCCATTCTATGATCCTATGGTGATGTGTTTGATGCTCTGCTCCCCGTTGTCTGCCCTGTGCTGTCCAGCTAACAGGAACATGGAGCCTCAGATCTGCAGAAAGATGCAATGCAAAACACCCAGCAGACAAACAGATTTCCTTCTAGATTTGCATCCTGTGCAAAATCAATAGCAGATCCCCATGGGAACAACCGTGCTCTCAGCATCACCTCACTATTCTTCCTCCACCAAAGGCACAAAGCTGGACCCAGCTGCAGCCCTCTGCCCCTTGTTTCACAGACCCTGACACCAGCCATTTCTCATTGCAGCGCCCATGGAGTCACCCCGTGTGCCCATCCACACTCGCCCCACTTGGGCTCAGCAGTCCTACAGGCATTTTGGCTGAAGCCATCCCTGGGCCACGCACCTCTGTGAGCTCCCGAGGTAGGTGAGGGGCACTCGATGGCCCTTCTTCCCCTGAGCACCACAGCATCACATCCCCATTACTCCTGGCTACAGCTGCACCTCCTCAGCACTGCTCAGCAGAGCTCAGCACATGCACAGAGAGGAGCTTTAGGGCCCCAGGTGCATCCTTTCACTTTATTTTCACAGGAACTCAGACTCCTGCAAGCACGAGGGTGAAGGACTCAAGCCAACAGACAGAGTAAGCCCTCCTCCCCTAGGCACAACCCAGCCATGCCCACTCCTTGCTGCCATAACACACAGCCTGCAGACACCTGCACTGTGCCCACAAGGAGAGAGCTGGGCTCTGGGACGCTGTAAGGGCTTGCATTCACCTCACAAGTGTGCTCTCTTTTTCCATTTCAGCTGTGGAAATACAGTTTTCAATAAGGTAAGCAATATACACACGATATACAGCCCTGTTCCCACTGCTGCCTCCAGCTGATTTCACAGCATTTGAATGCTGTAGCCCATTTGTTATTTGTCTGTGAACTGAAACAACTCCATGGTCTGAAATACTTCCTCTTTCCTGCAGGAAATCGTGCAGCTCTCTGGTTACCTGAAGGTAGGCACCAGGCACCACGAGCAGCCCTGGAGCAAGAACAACCATACATTATTATCATGATCAGACCAAGGGCTGCTTCCCCACAGGAGGCCCTGCACCGTGAGCTGCTGCTGAAGCAGAAGATGGTGATCCTGCAGGAGCTGCTCGCCACACTGCTGCACGCCTCTGAGAAGTCCTGGCAGGTACAGGCAGCTGGGGGCTTTGCCATGGGGCAGGGACAGACAGACCATGTAACCACAGTCCCATGGAGCTCGCTTTTCTGTGTCTCAGTATTGCACTTTGGAGATGCTACACATGCAGCACTGTTTGCAAAACAAAGTGCTTCTTTTCTCGCTCTCCACTTTCTGGTTAGGGCAAGTTGAACGCAAGATCAGAGAGAAATTGAGGGGACGTGTGCTTGAAATTTTTCCCTCTGTCCTTATCAGGAGGTAAAGTGGAGGTAATGCATTTTAGGGCTCATTCTTTAGAGACATAGGAAGCGTTTTATGCAGGGTTGTTAAATGAAATGTTAATAGAGAGTCTATCATACCATCAGAAAAAGGGTTTGAAAGTTCTGTTAGGGCACAAAAGCAGCGATAGGGCGAGAGAGTGTAAAAAACAAGTGTTAGATGTACTGTGGTTAGAAGCTTCCGCCTTCGCTTACTTCTTCAAACATAATGCAGGAGGAAAAAACACACTGACACACTGCATGAAGTAGCCATGAAACCTCAGATTAGAAACAGGTGGGTGCACTTTGCTTCTTGCTGTCTCTGCTGCAGAAGGCAGGCTTCCCTTTCACTGGGGGCTACGAATTAAACAAATTCACTCACTGCTGGCACCGCAGGCACAGAGCAAAGCAGGCAGCACCATGCTGGGAAGGGGCAAGGGACAGGGGATGCTGTGGGTGGGTTTGGATGTCCCTTGTATGCTGTGGCAGCTTTAAATTCCTCTCAGTATTTGAGGTTTTAAAGACCTGGAGCTGCAGGTACACGGGTGATCTGGCAGCAACTCTTGAAGTGGTCAGAGTGATTTAAGGAGATGCTCACAGATGCTTCTAGTTTGAAAGAGCAGCTGCACGCCATGCAGGAGGATGGGAGCATTGCAATGCTGTGGGGATCAGCCCCCTGCATCCCCCCATGGTTTTACCTCCAGGATGGAGACTCTCCTGCCACAGCTCTGACACTCAGCTCTTGTCTGTTGTAAAACTGATGGATTCAGAAGTACCGGCAGGCACAGAAAACACAGTCTTTCCTATGGCTGTTAAATTACTTTAGAGCTGTTCTCTTCTTAAAAATTATTTCTTTAATACATTTGCTTCCATTTCTACCTTCTGAAGTTGAACCCAACGCTTGGAAGTGCCTTACAGCCCCGTAGAATCTAAGCTCTGTCACATCCCGTGCTTTACTGTGATTTCATGGACCCATTTTCCTGGCACAAGCATTGTGTTTGTGCAAAGTGGAAGCCCTCCAGAAAAAGCAGTTATTGCTTCACACCAGCTATTCCAAATGGCTCACCAAGGAGTATCGGAAACAGTTCATCAGCCACAGGACAACAACAGCTGCCAGACAGAAGAGTTTTAAAGTCACTGAAGTGGCAGTCATGGAGAAACGCAGCAGCAGAGTTTTTAAGGAAAAAGTTTGGAGCTGCTCAGCCTGGTAACTTCAGAGTTGAGGATGAGGACTATCAAGGGTTCCAATCCAGCATCTCCAAGAGTGGACGCTTTTTGAACCCATTAACCTCAGCCCTCTCCCCTACCTGGAGTTTTGCCCCTGAGTTCCTGCACCAGGACTCTGAGTGATGATCAAAAATCACCAGAGAGGAGAGGAAAGACCATCTGACAGTGATAGCTGCAGGGTTTGGTTGTTGTGTGGTGGTTTGCTTTTTTTAAGCTGGCCCCTTTCATGTCAATAACCATCAGCACAAAGGCTTGGCCAGGATGAGCTCACGTAACTTTTCTGGTCAGAAGCACAACTACTTCTGCCCTCCCACGTATCTGCACAAACCCACCCGGTCTGGTAACAGGCAGTTTATTCCCTATAGGGAAATCTCAGCCCCGTATGTTCTTCTGCCAACTTATAAACTGCATCTCCATAAAAGCAGCCTGCCAGCACATTTCTGCTGTACAGCGTAGGAAGGGGCCGGTGCTCTGCTGCCCTGTACTCTGCACAGTGCACAACAACCATGAAACACCACTGCCCTCCTTTGTAAGCCTCCGCATACAGCAGAACAAATGAACCACAAAGGAAAGACAGGCATAATATTTCATATTTTAAAATGCTTTGCAATATGCCACCTACTTTCTAAGGGGACATAGCCCTCAGGCTATTTTTGTACTGACAACCGAACTGGGAAGCTTTATTCTTTGGGACTGTAAACTTATTCCTGTGCCAATTTAAACAGTGCTAAGACACCAGAGAGTCAGGTTTGGCTTGGGTCTGACAGCTCTTCCCCAAACATCAAGGAGCTGCTTATTCAAAAGCCCAGCTTCAAACACCAGCAAGCAGAAACAATAACGATGCTCTCAGTATCAGTAGTGAAAAAACAGCATATGTGAACTCTGCTAGAAATTGAATCTGAATTTGCATGCAGTCTGGTTTCACAAAACCTAAGTAAAAAGCCCAACAAACACCGAGATGATAACAGGAAAAATGAATCCTTGTTGTTGTCATCCATCCTCCTGCCTGGCTGCTCAGTGTCACAATGCAGACCTGATCTGTTTCCCATGCAAGCTGCAGGATGAGAGCTCAGCACTGCAGGAGCCATCAGCTGGGACTCACAACCTTGTGGCCAGGCAGCAGTTCTACCTCAGGAAGGGTCTCACGTGTAAAGGTTTAACTTCCCCCACAACACACTTATTCTGAGACTGAAGTCTAACTGGAACTCTAAGCACTGAAATACTTTGACCAAATTTAAACACAGTATTATAGAAGAAAATGAACAAAATGCAAACTAACAGTGTTGGAGGCAGAATGTGTAAATCGTGATTGCATACACTGGTCCAATTGTTTTTCCCCAGGGTCAGCTGAATGAAGATAAACTCAAGTGTAAACTGAGGGCCCTGGAAAATCAGCTGCAGGCCTGCACCCAGGTAAGGGCTGATTGTCAGAGCAACAAGCAAGGCTGAAGAAAGGCATGAAAAACTGAATCATGTAATTGGGTCAGGTCTCAGTTTCTAGAGTAATCTGATTAGATACAGATCTGAAAAGTATTTTTCCTCTTTGCTGAAGCAATATTTCACAGCAAATTAGCAGTTGCATTTACACAGTGTGGATTTGCTAATATTCAGTCTTAGCAAGATTAGGAATATATCAGATAAAACCCCTCAAGCACTCTAATTCTTCCTTTAAAGAGTTACTCAAAGGAGTGTGTGAAGAAGATCCTGATAGAGATGGAGGACCAGAAGCAGACCTACGAGCAGAAGGCAAAGGAGGCTCTGCAGAAAATGCTCGAGGACAAACTCCAGGCAGAGCAGCAGCTGCAAAACTCTCAGGTAAGAAACACGTTTGACACCTGGCTTTGCATCTCATCCAGGCCCTTTATTTCAGGGAAAGACAACAACCAGTTTACTGTTTGCAAAGATGCAAAATTACTTTTTTTTTTTTTTTTTTTAAATGCTACCACCCAAAGTCCAAAGGTAACGACAACCTGTGCTCATTTTATGCTGTTTGTAATAACCTGGAGCGGGGCTCATATCTGTTTCTCTTAGAGGTGCCTGGCTGCGGCGAGGGAGGACCTTGCCTTCTGGAAGGAGCACTACACCATGCTCAAATCCGAGTGGGCCCAGATGGCCAAGGCACACAGCGAGCTCAAGAGCAACCTTCACGCCCTGCAAAGCCAACTGCAGGTACATCAGACCCCCATGGGAGCAGCGCTGCAGCCCAAGGGAGCCCATGTTTTCTGATTTGCAAACAGCCCACAGGCTGAGATCATTTCATACAAAAGCCCTTTGGTGAAGTTGCTGTTACTGCACACCCAGTCCTTGCTTCTCACCACAGCACACGGCTACAAGGAATGAGGAGCTCTGCCAGGCCCTGGACTTCCTGCAGCACGAGCATGCCGAGCTCCAGCAGCGTGCTGACAGCCTGCAGCAGGACAACCAGCTCCAAGCCAAGCGTATCGGCAACATCGAAGGTACCACTCCTTCAGGGAAAGGCAGAAAGCAAGGACATAATCTGAAAGCCCTGGCTCTTGGAGCCTAGTACACCCAAAGCAATCTGTATCTGAATGCATTGCATAACCTCAGCTTACTGAGAGCCTTTGGTTTCCAAAGGGTCCCAAATTAAAGATTAAAAGGGTTTCAGAAAGAAGGGTGGAATGGGAAACTTCCATACCTGCATGTAGATATTTGCATGAACACTGGTTTTCTTATTATTTCAGGTAAATTGCAAAAAGAGCAAAATCAGAAGCTAATATTGGAGGCAACAATCAGCCACCTGCACAGTGAGTAACACAAAGAAGTACAATGTGAAAGCACTGCATTACTGCTGTAGCAACGACAGCGTCTTGTTTTGTCCCCAGACCTGATGCAGAACCAGACCAATGAGCAGAAAACACAGGAAGTGGTGGTGCAAAGGAAAGGTCAGCAAACTTTCTAACTTCCACCTAAAGCTGCTCTAACTTGACATGGGAATGTCAGAAGTGACTCCAGGAGAGGAGAAGTCTGTATTTCTTTAGAATAAAGGATTATATTAAAGCTACACAAAACTAGTTACGATTCTATGATTATATTTTGGTAGTTAACATTAAAAGACAAGTTTATTTTTGAGGCAGATACTTTACAAAAAAATAAATGGTTTTCATTCCAAGTTCTTTTTCAGTGGCTATGCCATTTTGAAAAAAAAATCAGCTTGTAGCTGCAATTACAGCTGTACTTCTGTACTTAAAGAAAGCAGTAAAAGAAACTTAAGCTCTTCCTCCCTTCCATTGGTAAGTGTTTGAAAACATTTCTCTAAAGACTATCAGCTTGCATCTACAGGAGAGGCAAGCCTATGATAACTGAGCTCCTCTCTGTACATAGCTTGCAAATATTATCTTCAAACTATGCTAAGTAGAGAAGCTACAAAGCAAACTGGAGGTCAAGACGTGTTTCTCACCAGCAGCCTGACTGTTTTCTAGATCAGGTTTTCACCATGCAGAACCCACCTCTCACTCCTGCCAAGGAAATGCAAAATGCAATGTCTGAGCATCCCAAGGAGAAGGCAGAAGAAAGCCTGAGGAATGAGATGCAGGAAAGGACATTCCAGCTTACAGCAAAGGAGAAAGAGGTGAGGAAGTCACTGCTGGGACAGCAACCCTGTCAGGGATTGAGATGCCTTTTAGGTGCTCTCAGGAGCATAGAAAAACAGCACATTAAAGCTCCTGGAGGCAGCCAGAGCTGCAGGCTGCACCTAGTATCCACCAAAAGGATTTACTCTGCTTTATTTCTGTTCTGATACCAGCCTCAGATGAAGCTCACAGTTTCTGCTGGCAGGGATAGGGCACCAAGCAGCCATGCCTAGAACCACTGCTTCAGACAAACCCATTTCTGTTCATGGGAAAAAAGATAAAGCCACTCTTGAACAGCCAAAGCCTTAGGCATAAAGGAAGCGTGGGAGGGGGAGGTAGGAAGGCTCATAAATAAATAACAACAAAAAAAACCCTGTAACATCTGACCAAAAAGCCCTCAGCTTTCTGACCTTCTGCAGGGTGCTTACCACATAAGCAATTATTTCAGGACAAAAAACCAGTAGCACAAACTGTTCTTGCACACCAACAGTCTCACACATCTTACTGCAGAACTCATAACAGGGACTTATAAAAATAAGATCCATGACTTACCAGAGCTGAGGAACACACCAGAACCTGTTCCACTAACTCCTCCAGAACGGTGCCCACATCACCTGGGGAAGGGGCTTAGCTGAGTGTAATCACAGCAAAAGGGAACAGCTGTGGGTGCCAGCTGCATTGGCTCGCACAGAAGGACATGAACCCTGATGTTCCACCCCACATCTTTTTCCTGATTTGTATGTGGTCAGAAGAAGTGGTTATTTTTTTTTTTCTTTCTTTTCTTTCACATAATGTGAAAGATGGCAGTAGAAGCAAGCAGATCACAGGATGGGAGCAGCCAGGGCACTGTCTGGGCCCCCACCTAACACTGAAACCTGCTCTATCCTATATAGGTATGTAAGGGCATGTGAGCAGCAGAAGGGGAAATCCCCCCTTGTCCCACTGCCCACACACAGGTGAAGCACCATAGCTGCTGCGGGAGCCCTGCCTGTTCTGGGGTGCCTGAAGCCACAGGACTCCCTCCTGCTGACCCCTGCCTCCATTCCCCCTCCTCCAAGTGCCAGGAGCTGCGTGCAGAGCTGGAGGCACTAAGTGAGGAGTACCGCTGCTGCCTGAGCTGCCTGCGCCAGTGCCGCCAGGAGCTCAACCAAAGCCAGATGGTGAAGGTGGGACCGACCCTCACCCCTTCCTTGTGGCAGCTGCACATCACCCTGGGAAACACTCCTTTATTTGGGGGCAGTGTGGAAGGATGAGCAGCATGCCTGTTAGGGATGGGATGAGTGGTTTCTTCTCCCCATCACCTCCTGGTTACATTTGCTTCCTTTCGCAGAGACAACGCGGTAACTGGCTCCCTCTTCTGCTGGCAGTGATAGCAATAGCCACGGCTGCTGTGCTGGCCAGCTACAGACCATGAGCACCTCCTCAGTGACCTCCGTGCACAACTGACTCCTGACCTGCTGGCAGCAATCTGCCCTCACTGCAGTGCTTCTGCCGCTCCTTGCCTGCTTCATACCCCAAGCTGGTCTCGGCCAGACAAACTGACACGGCTCCAATAAATGTGGGGAGATCACCCTTCTCTTCCATGTGAGTTATTCGTTAACTGAGGGTTGCACTGCTTGGTCCCTGCACAAAGCCATTCAAATGGCATCTCTCGGACTCATGGGGGCAGCAAGGATCGTGTGTCCCATGCATTTGGGAGCCAAGCTGTGTGCATATAGAGAAACAACAATGCAATTCCCTTCATTTGTCGTTTCAGTGCATGGGAAATATTCCACCCTACACCATCTTTTCTGGCAGCCAGCAATAAAACTGCATACCACCCAAGCTGAGCACCCTTCACACCATCTGCTCAGCCCAGGCTCAGCCATACCCCAGCTTCCCTCATGGCCAAGCACCCTCAGCCACGTCTGCTTCTCTTTCATGCTCAGCACACTACTTTGGCAGAGCCAGGTTTTCCCACCCATCAGAGCTGTGCAGCCTTTATGGCAGTGCTTGTCCCTTGCTCTAAGCACGGGCTCAGACACGAGGTGTGACACCACATCACACACACAATAAAGAGCCTACAACAAACTTCACAAACTAAGAATACTGCCGTGTTAGCATTTTTTATTAATCCTCAGTCGTTCACAGCAAATAAATACACACAATAACACACTCCACAGTCAGGATCCAGGCTGTGGAGCTGCTCTGTTTGTTCATCCACATACTTAGGACACGCATGGACTTGATCCACACCTGGCCTGGTCAGGCCCAAACCCATCTGGTTCTTGCTCGGGGCCTCCTAGAACTGCCTCAGTGGGTTCCCCACCTCACTCCCTGAGGCACGTGAGGAACAGGATGAAAAGCCAGTGTTTGTCCATCTGTCACAAGGCAACTGCAGGCAGCAACACCACCTTGCTGGAAATGCAGAGATCAATAAAGTCGCTCTGTGCACAGAAGTCATCCCTCAGCTCTTTGCTCCAGGCGTCCAGCACCTCTTGCAGCTCCACGCAGAGGCTCTCAGGGATACTGAAGGAGCAGATCTGCACCTGGAGCCCTCCCTGTATCCTGGGGCAGGAGGCCCGGGCCGTGAATACCCTGAGTGGCGTCAGCGCCAGGCAGTTCTCAGCACCCTCCTCCACAGGGAAGGTGTAGGCTGCCGGATAGCCCAGCAGCACCCCGAACACGGTGCAGAGATTCCAACCCGTGGCCACGACCTCACTGCAGGACACGGGGCTGTCTGCAGCCTCCTCCGCAGCCACGAGGTGGGCCAGGAGGGCCTCCACGTGTTCCCTGACGGCCGCAGCTTCAGCTGGGCCGCAGAGCGCAGGACCGGACCGCGCCGCCGCCACGTCAATGAAAGGCCCGGGGCGGGCACGGAGCGCGGCCTCCAGCTGTCGCCGAGCGCGGCCCGGGTGCAGCAGCAGCACCTCGCCCGCCACGCCCAGCAGGTGCAGGCGGCCCAGGCCCAGCCCGGCCTCCCGCAGCCGCTCCACGTAACACCGCAGCTCGGCGGGCCCCGCCGCCCCGCAGTCGTACAGCAGCGCCGGCTTCAGCCCCGCCGCCACCGCCAGCACCTCTCCGGCCAGCTGCAGTGCGCGGGCCGCCGCCAGCCGCCGCCCGGACCCGGCCCCCAGCGCCTGCCGAGCCGCCGCCACCAGCTGCGGGGCGGGCAGAACGGCCTGCGCATCGCCTCGGCCCTTGGGGCCCATGGCCGAGCCCCGGCCCAGAGTAGCGGCGCACCCGGCGCCCGCGGCTTCCGGCCCGGCCACAGCGCCACGCGACGCCGGGGCGGAGCGGCCTATGGCGGCGGGGCAGGCCTCACCGAGGCGGTGCTGAACGCGAAAGAAGGCGGAGCGGAGCGATGCTGGAGCTCAGAGCTCCCCCTGCCTTTAGGCGTTATTCTAACGCACGCGCGGAAAGAGACGTGAAATAGAAAGCACAGGGGGAGGAACATGAGCTGGCCTGAAAGCTTGGAGCTGTCAGAGGCTGGTTAAACAGAAATAAAATAAGGCGAGATAACGTTAAGGCAATTTTAATAGAGTACAGATTAGTTTTTCCTCTCTCCCACTCAAATCTTTATATACAGGATGTCAGTATTTGGTTTAAAAAATATTACAGAATTACAAATCTGATTTATACATAGTGGTGGGTTAAGCAAGCAGCTAAAAACAGTGACCGAGCTAGAAGCATTCCTTATTCCCTTTATTTATAACACTCTCCCAAGAAAAGTACCATGAGACTGTGGAAATTCAATCAGAAAACCAGATTTACAGATTTCTTTCAGGTTCAGGCAAGGCACTTATCAAAGTTTTCTTATATACACATGGGAGGGAACAGCACAGGAGGATCAAGTGCCTGTCACTGCGCGGGCAGCGGCTGTGCCATGTGCATGGTAGGGGCCTGCATCGGCCACCCCTCCTGGTGGGTCTGCAACAGGCGGTACAGCTGCTTCAGGTGAGCTACAATGTTGTCCTTGATGTCAGGAGTAGAGATCTGGAGCCGCACGCTGCCGCTGTCAAAGGAGCGCGTGAAGTCACCGGAAAACATCTCGTATATCATCCGGGCCACAACAGGGATGACCTGTTGAAGAAATCCACCATTTCAGCCTAGCCATCACACAGTACATTTCTGTTCCTCGGCAAGGACTCCTTGCCAGAGAAGGTTCCCTGCAGGATAGTTTCCACAGACACCTAAAGCACACTCGCAGCTCAATGCTATTTGGCAAAAGAGCATCTGCATATGCTGTGACAAAATCCAGCAGCCCTGTTGGGATTTCCCCCTGCCAGTGGTCACAGAAGAGAACAACAGTACTCTGGTTCCTGTGGGTATCAATCTAGAGCCAGTGCATTGCTCCAGCAGGGTTATCACACGTCACTCCAAGGCCTTCATTCCTACCTGAACCACGATCAGCTTTCTCTCCCGAGGTTTTCCATCAGGCCACTCTTCCCCAAAACAGAAATAGATCTCAAATGGTGGCTGTTTCTCAATTTGTCCTTTCTGGTGGGCAATCAGCTCTAAGAAGAAAAGCAGAATGCTGCAGGTTTGTCCACTTTTTGGATAGGAATGCTTACCATGTCCCACCCACATTGTGCCAGGTCTCAACTATGCTCCCTTGCCAGAGCTGCTTCTTGCATATCCACAATTACAGCCTGTTTCTTGAATACACAAAAGCTTTCTTTAAAAGCAAACCCACCAGCAGCTCAGACCATTAAATAAGCCACTCCACAGTCCATCAAGGTTAGGGGAAGCAAGGACAATTACTCACGCTCCATGCATATGCAAACTAATTAGCACATTCAAACCAACCCACAGGACAGACCGCCCTTTCCAAACGTCACCAGGATCCAAAGTTATCTTCCAGAAGCAGAAGCTACCTACCACTTAGGAACGTTTCCAAACAGAAGAGTTTGACTTTCTTTTGCCTCTCAATCAAATTTGGTGTAGTGGCAGAAGGTGCACAGGGACCGGACCAGTACACCTTGCACTGGCAGAGCCGCACAGCGTAGATGGCATGGCCACTGACCTCCAGGATCAGTCCCCTGTCCATAACATCCAGCAGCCGACTGGTGAAGATCTTTTGCTTTTCATTGGTGATTTGCTCTGTTCCTGGAAACCTTACTTGTTCCAAATTAATTGGCCCAAAGAGCTCTTCCTGGTCTGGCATAGGACCCAGCTCTCCGTAGAACAGTCTGCATCCCTGTGGGTTGCTCACAGTTGTTGTCTGCCCAGTCTCCTTTCCTCGATATTCGAACTTGATTTCTAGGTCTGTCACTGAGAGAAACTGTCAGTAGGACTTTTCCTGGACCTCTGCACATACATCAGCAGTAAAGACATATCACACAATACAAGCTAGGCTTCCAGGGATGTTTTAGCTATACACAGATGCTAACGAGCAAAAAAGGATTTAAAAATGGTTTTGATTTTTTAAGAACAATGACAGAAGCACTACAAACCCATGAACGTACTTGGAAGAGAGCTGATCCAGAGCTCCGGGCTGCTGAAGAAGTCATGCTGCAAAGCAGTCGGGGGCATCTCCATATCCAGAGGTTCATTCTTTGGCCACACAGCTTCAGGGCTGCAGTTCTCTGCGCTGGCTGGAGCCATCGGAGAATCTACAGAAGGGAATTGACTCTTTCCTAAGCCAAGTCTTAATTTCAAGCACGCACCAATATACAAGCAAATAACTTCACTATTACATTACAGCCTATGGTACCAACCATTGATATTAAGAAATGGAAATGTCTCTTGAATAGGGACATGCTGAGATGGATTCAATTCTTCCTCTTCATCCTCATCAAGATCATTTTCCTTCTCATCCCATGGAGCTGAGCCAGTGGAACCTGCAAACAAGCACAAAGTGGGCAGACAATGGGTATGAAACACTGCAGGGCAAGGAGCTACTGTGTGAAGATGTATTAATTTTAGTACAGGCATACTATGGCTCAAAGTCCTCTTCAGGTGCAGCTGGGCTTACAGCAGCTGCCAGGCACTGCACACAAAGGCAGCTCGGGAGTTAATGCCACGCAGGGAAAGGTGCACGCATTGGACAAACGCCTGCTCAGTAACCAGCTCTGTACCAACAAGGCCCTCACCTGGATTAATGATTGATCCCTGGGACTGCGGGATATCGCACACTTCATAGATTTTCACAGGATTCATGGGCACCTCCTTGGTGCCATCATACATCAAATTGAACTCCCGGCTTTTGTTAAGAGCACATCGGAGCTGGGCTTTCCATTTTGCAGGGTCTGGCTCGTCGACTCCTTCCTGGTATTTTCCTGTTTCCACAGCCCATGCCTGGGGACAAAGTACAGCACGGTGCTCAGTCCAGCCCTCACAACAGAGCCAATTTTATCAGAAATAAAGCTTAGAAACAAATTTAGTGTGAAAATCCTCTTCTGCAGAAGCCTTAACCACAGCTCTTCTGATAACGGCAGCAGACGTTCCCTCCTTAATAGCTTCTCCTATTAAAAGGAGAAGATAAAAATAAATGCATGAAGATGCATGCTCTGAATGTACAAGTTAAGTACCAGCCACACAGGATTGTGCACTGAGTCTCTCTGGGTGTCTCAGCTGTGATACCAGAAACC